AATAGTGGGAGATCTCTGGCTACCACCTAGTCTGCAAAAATATAGGACATTTATTCCGAACAGATGAAGATGGTTTCAAGTAGGAATAATTGCTCCTTTCACTTTTCATCTGTGGCAAACATTTGGAAGATTTTTTTTTCATTTCAAAAACCTGCAAAAATCTGTTTGACCTCAGGCAATAATGGAACAAAAGAAACGTGTGTACAACTCTCAAAGCACTTTCAGCTACATATAAGAATTATTGTCTGATTACAGATTAATACTTTGGCCAGAATCCAACCTAGGCCAGCCTAGGATCTTGTGTATTTATTCATTTATTTATATAATTTATCTGCTGACTCTCCAGAGACCTGCTGTTACCCAAAGAGTCAGTCTCCTATTTGATTGGAGGAAATTAGCTTAAAGGAGACAAATGAGAAGGGTAACTGGGATCTCCACCAATGTCTACTGGGATAATTCCCTTAGAGAATTCTCAAAAATAAACAGACCGATGTTTGACAAGAAAGGTTTTTATTGGGAAAAAATAATAATATGGTAAAACACACACACAAACACATTAAGCTGACTAAGATGAAATTAAAGGGAGGAGAGGGAGAAAGCAGTTTCAGGGAAGGCTATACAATTACCAGTCTTGAAGCGTGAGGTCTGAAGAGGCAGCTGTGAAATGGCCAGCGTTTCACAGAGCAAAGAAGGAAATCCACACACATGTGGGTGTATGAGGTTGATGTCAAGAACACACACACACCTGGTGTCTGAGGCTTTTTCAATTATAAGAGCCAATCTACTTTGTTCTGAGCTACATTCACTGTATAATGCCACTAATAAAACCTGTTCACCCCTGTATTTTGGAATATCTCCTAAAGTCGGCCAAGCTGCCTCTTACCTGTACCAACTTCACACTCCCAAACTCCGTAGAGCCCTCTCTTTGGTGAGATTCAATGTATTACCTTCGGCCTTATTATCTGGTTTCAGGGTGTGCCCTTTTCTGACAGATGTTGCCCATGCACAAATGATAATATCGAAACGATTTCCCATGTCTTGTTTCAGTGCCCCTTCTACCATGCGCTACGACTGAAATTTCTAAATTTTACTTTGGCTCAACTAGAAGAATATCCTGATTGCCTAAAGATCCTTATTCTTCTTGCTAACCCAAACTTTGAGATAACAGAAACTGTTGCTAAATTTCTTTTTGGTGCCATTTCTATTCGCCCTTTATTTAATTGATGGGTATACTTACTTTGTAATTCCTTGTTTCTGTTTTTTGTAGATATTATTCTATGCTGTGGTTGTTGTTTTTTGTTGTATATGGGTTTGCAAGGGTTACATGCCAATAAAGGTAACTGGACTGGTGTCTAGGTGCACTTAATATAGGAAAAATGTTCCTGGGGACTATGCTGACTTGTGCACCCCTCCCCACCAATGGTTTGATGAGCTTTCCGGAGAGCAAACAATGAGGTGGGAGAAGTTTTATGGGACTTTGTGAGGTGTACCAAAGGTGTGAATGTCTTTTGATGGCCCAGAGGTTACTGGATGGGGAAACTGCCAGGTTTGAAGAATATGGTTAAGTGTTGCTAAATTGGGGTAAAAGGATAAGGGGGAAGCAAGACTGGAATTGACAGGATTAGTCATGGGAAACCTATTGCCGTTAATTATGCATCTCCATATGGTGGGGAGAGGCTCATCAGTCAGCCAACCGACTTTTGACTTCACCTTCAAGAAATTTCTCAGGCTTGGCTTCTGGTTTGACTCTGACTGGCATCTATTTAGTGTCTTTTGGGCCAGTTTCTTATAGTTACAGTTTTTGAGGTGATGTTTTTATGAAGGGCGTTTGCCTCTTTCTCTCCATGTGCTGAACTACTCCTTCTTTGGGAGGAGGGGTCTGACTGCTAACACTGCCAAGGACCTATTCAAGGTGGGCATGACTCTAGTGGGAGTGGAGGCACTCTGTCATGCATGATACAACAAAATGATTCAGCTCAGACACTTATAAGAATGAAGCTCTGAAGTCCTTGGGCATGTATACTAACTTCCCCCTACCTCTTCCACTTTCATGTGGCTCAAATTCTGGAGACTTCCCCTGCATCTGCAGTCTATAGTGATATCTGAATCAGGAAAGTTGAGGTCTGCTCTCTTGCCTCCAAACCAGGATTCCAAATCATGATTAAGATGTACTTTGGAATCCTGATTTGGGGATAAGAGAAGAAACCACAGTTTTCTGTTTTGCTCCGTTTTGACATCACAACAAACAGTTGTGGTTTTTTTGTTACATATGAATAAACCAGGGCATTTTCATTATTCAAGCCATGTGTGATGGAGAAAGGAGATGGAAGGGGAGGGAGTGCATGAGCTCAAGGATTCAGACACTTGTGTTCCATAATGCTGAATGAAGCCTGTATTTATTCTATATTTGCTCCAATTTTACCCTATATGGATTTGTATTTTAATCTGATCTCCTATTGTATGTGTATACGTATGCCAATGAAGGCTTGTCAAATGTAATTCAGCCCCAGAGGGTAGCTAACATTTAGGATGGCTTTTTCTTCTCACTCCTCTCTTAAGAACCACTTGTGATTCTTCCCTTCTTCCACTGTTGCCACACTACCATCATCATCTTCCATGCTGCTTCCATGCTGCTATGAGAAGGAATGTTTCTCTCAGCCATGCATGTTGACAGCGACTCTTTCTTGTCTTTGATAAGTACTTAAATAAAAAACAGTATTATTTCCACAATTCAGTAACATTGCTCTAATCAATGAGAATTCATGAGAGTTCTATTATAGCACATTAATCTATCATTGCTCATGGGCTGTGAACAGACGAAAGACTACTCTGCGGCTAAACCAGGCTGAACTGTAACTTTGTGAAAACATTGAGGAATAATTTTTACACACAAAGCTTAAATTGGTTTGTGGATATTTGCGTCTGTAATGTGATCATAAAACTCAGATTGGCTGAAATGTATATTTCCCCTTCTCAATTTTATCTTACATTTGAAATATGGGAAACATTAGAGGCTTATGTCTGTGTTCTCTCTTAAAGTACTGTGAATTGAATACCCCTGTGTGCTATGCCACTGGAAGATTGCAGTTTACCATGTCCCCCAAAATGTTTGAAAGCAGATGTTTTCTACAAGATATGGTGAGATGTAAACTGGCCATGAGACAAGGGGTTGGATCCAATCAGCTTTTACAGTGGTGAAACAGGAAGAGGGTTCCCCTTGACCATCAGAAAGGGTATGGTGGGGAATCATGAGATCTGCCTGGACAAAAGCCACGTGGGACTGGTGCTCTAATAAGAAGGGGGATTGATCAAAATTGGCTGGAAAAGCTGGCTGTATCCAAAACAGTAACATGTCAGTACATTTATAAAATTTATAAATGTACAGACATTTATGAGGGCTGCCATGGAAGAGAAAGAGGAAATAGTGGAAGAGGGAAAATGAGATGCCCCTGCAAGTCCTCACAGATGTACATGCCATAATTCTGAATGCTATACTCAAACAATTTTAGGTCAGGGAAGGTTTTGCTGGCATGCAAAATCATTCATATATGTGGTATTGAATGTTGTGAGTAGCAGGGGTAGGCAGGGAGGGAGCAGGTAGGTGCCCCACTCCTCCTG